CCAGAATTCCAAGTTGAAATTAATTAAATCATTCGATATATTTTCCTTTGCAGGCCATGCAGTTATCTAAAGAGTGATTCATATCAAAATTGTGTTTGTTCCTTCACCCAGGAAAGATTCTTTTAATGTAATAAATACTGAAAATTATAGTCCTTGAGTCACCCTTGCTTTTAAACATAGTCATTTCATAGAATCAAAGAATTAGGGAATGGAAGGGATCTCAGTAGTACCTAGTACAGCCCTCACTTTTTTTTTCTTGTGGGGAGAAAAAAAGGGAATAGAAGAAGCAAATGTAAAGAATGAAATACTAAAGAAATGGTGAAATAAAAAATGTTATTTCTACATAAGTGAAATGGCTCCAATGAAGAACTTAACTCATACTTGGGGTTTTTTTGGTGATTATGTTGGTAATGCTCATATATTTAGACTCTACAGATATATGATAAAGGCAATAGGCGTCAAGTGTCTATGATACTGAGGTTGAGAGAACTTTGCAGCCCGAGAAAGAAAGAACACTGGTCTAGAATTTGAGACTGCCCTAGTCCTGCCTTTACCACTAGTTATTTGAGTCATATTGGATAATATATTCAACTTTTTGGGGGTTTTGATTGTTAAAATTAGAATATAGGAGTGCTGTTGTTGTTAGAATATGGGAGTAGATGGTTCCTAAGGTTGTTGCAGCTCTAAAAATCTGATCCTATAATTCGTTTTAAGGAAGCTCCAAAGTAAGTCATTGATTAGAGGGCCAACCTTGGAGTCAAGAAGACCCATGTTCAAGTCTACTCACTGACATATAATAGCTGTGAGAACACAGGCAGGTCACTTAATCTCCTAGTCAGTGTCCCAGGCAACATTTAAGTTGCAGATTTACTTTGTTTGGAGGATATTGTTACCTTGTGTGAGTCCCATATCAGTAAAATCCCAAACTTACTCAAAAAGTTATTTTATTTATTTATTTAGTTTGTTTGGCTAGGCAGTGGGGTTAAGTGACTTGCCTGGCGTCACACAGCTGGTAAGTGCTATGTGTCTGAGGCCGTATTTGAACAGTCCTCCTGAATCCAGGACCGGTGCTCTATCCACTGTGCCACCTAGCTGCCTCTTTCTTTTTCTTTCTTTCTTTCTTTCTTTCTTTCTTTCTTTCTTTCTTTCTTTCTTTCTTTCTTTCTTTCTTTCTTTCTTTCTTTCTTTCTTTCTTTCTTTCTTTCTTCCTTTCTTCCTTTCTTCCTTCCTTTCTTCCTTTCTTTTTCTTCCTTTCTCTCTCTCTCTCTTTCTCTCTCTCTCTTTCTTTCTCTCTCTCTCTTTCTCTCTTTCTCTCTCTTCCTCTCTTCCTCCCTTCCTCCTTTCCTCCTTCCTTTCTTTCCTCCTTTCCTCCTTTCCATCTTTCTTTCTGTCTTTCTTTCTTCCTTCTTTCTTTTTCTTTCTTTCTTTCTCTTTCTCTCTCTCTTTCTCTCTCTCTCTCTCTTTCTCTCTCTCTCTTTCTCTTTCTCTCTTTCTTTCTCTGTCTCCCTTCCTCCTGTCCTCCTTCCTTTCTTTCCTCCTTTCCGTCTTTCCGTCTTTCCGTCTTTCTTTCTTTCTTTCCGTCTTTCTTTCTTTCTTTCCTTCTTTCTTTCTTTCTTTCTTTCTTTCTTTCTTTCTTTCTTTCTTTCTTTCTTTTTCTTTCTTTCTTTCTTTCTTTCTTTCTTTCTTTCTTCTTTCTTTCTTTCTTTCTTTCTTTCTTTCTTTCTTTCTTTCTTTCTTTCTTTCTTTCTTTCTTTCTTTCTTTCTTTCTTTCTTTCTTTCTTTCTTTCTTTCTCTCTCTCTCCCCCCAATACCAGTCAACAATAAAATTTGTCAGGTGCCTACTGTGTACCAAGCACTATGCTAATTGCTAAAAATACAAAGAAAGGCACATTCAGTCCCTGTCCTCAAAATGTTCACATTTGAAAGAGGGAAGATAGCATTTCAAAAACATAGGTACATGATATGTACAGAGTAGAAGAAAGGTAATCTCAGAGGAAAAGGTAATGGCAGCTTAGAGGGACCAGGAAAGACCATATGCAGAAAATGAGATTTGAGCTAAGTCTTGAAGGAGGCCAGAGAAACAAAGACATGGAAGTAAGGGAAAATAGTCCACGCATTTGTGACAGCCAGTAAAAAAGCGTGGAGGAGTCGGGGACCCTTTAGCCTCCTTAGGCCAGTCATTCCATTGTCCTCCTTCCATTCTCTGTCTGATAACCTTGGGATGACTCCACTCCAAGACCAGACCTCTAGAGAGGGTGATAACCTAATTGAATTTATTCCTCAGTGATTAACACTCCTTTCTTTACATCCTTCCCATCCCAGGGATTCTGAACCTCCAGTTTCAACTGAAACTGCTCTCTCTGCTAGTTAACAGTGATCCCTTAATTGCTAAATCTGTGGCCTTTTCTCAATTTGCATTCTTTTTTTTTTAACTTTGAAAGCTTTTGACACTGTCAGTCACCTTCTCCTTAATACTCTCTTTTCTCTAGGTTTTCATGGTATTTTGTCCCAATTCTCTCTCTACCTGTTTGACCATGATTTCTCAGTATCCTTTGTTGGATATTCATTCAAACCACACTCACTAACCAAGGCTTTAGTCTGGAACTTTTTCTCCCTATTTCGTTAATATTTTGCTTAGTGATATCATCCATTCCCATGAATTAAATTGATCTGTTTGTCCAAACCTGATGTCTCTCCTGACCTACAATATCACATCTCCAATTGCCTGTTGGATGTCTTAAATTTTGGATGTCCTTGTAGACACCTAAAAACATGTCCCAAACTAAACTCCTTATTATTCCCCCAAAACCCTACCCTCTTCATATTACTGTTGAGAGTACCATCATCCTTCCAGTCATTACCTAGGCTTACAACATAAGTGACATCCGTGACTTTTCACTTTCCCCCATATCCGATCTCTTGTCAAATCCTATTGATTCTGTCTTCATAACATCTCTAGTACAAGCCTCCTTCTCTTCTGACCCCTACTATCTTAGTATCACACACTTGAGCTATTACAATAGCCTTCCCATTGGTCTCTGCCTCAGATCTCTTCCTCATTCCATTCCGTCTTCCACTGAGCCATCAAATTGATCTTCCTAAAGCTTAGGTCTGACTATGTCACACACTCACCAACTCCCCCACAAATAAATTCCAGTGGCTCCCGATTAACCTCTAGGATAGAATATAACCTCAAGACTCCCCTCTAAAAAGTCTCACCAGCCTGACTTCCACCCCAATTACCCCCAATGTGTTTCCTCTGCATCAGGCAATCATCCCTTACTCCAGTACAGCATATGGAATAGGCCTGTTTTGTTGCATCTTTATATCCGAAAACAGAGGCAGCTAGGTGGCACAGTGGATAAAGTGCTGGGCCTGGAGTCAGGAAGCCATGAGCTCAAATCTGGCCTCAGATCCTTACTACCTCTATAACCGTGGCAAGTCCCTTAACCCTGTTTGCCTCAGTTTCCTTATCTGTAAAATGAGCTGGAGAAGGAAATGACAAACCACTTCACTATCTTTACCAAGAAAACCCTAGTTGGGATCACCAAGAGACGGACACAACTGAAGTGACTGAACAACAAATCCTAAAACGTTTAAATTTTGACAAAATAAAATTGTCTTTCTAAAACACCTCATATGATACAGGTATTCAAGCTTAATAGTGCTACTCACCATTTTTTTTTTCAAAGGTAGTGATGACTTGAAGTCAAGAAATTGCCTTTCTGTTTTTATCATTACAATTTTAGGAAATGATGAACATGCTTATACCAGAAGGCTAGAGTATTATAGTATGTATTCACTTCTGAAAAATGCATTTTTACACACTTAAAGTTATTTACAGAACTTTAATTCAATAAATGTCTTATTTTATGGAGGAAAACATTTTATTCCTCTTTCCTTTGGGTATCTGTGTTTAACAAATTAAAAAAAAAACTGGGAGCCCTAGCGATGCTTTTAGGAGCTTCTTTCAAAAGAATGTGTAGTTATAACCTCTATTTATCCGAAAACTTTTGAGGAATACTTAGAATGAATTTTGTACTTAACGAAGAAAATAAATATATAGTGGACTAACTTCTGTGAAACTTTAAAGCACTATATAAATGTGGTTTTTAAAATATACATGTATATATGTGTACATGTATAGACATAGACGTGTATATGTATACACACAGATGTGCATTTTGTGTGTGTGTGTATGTTGTGTGTGTTTGTCAGAAGCTAGTATTTTTAACACAGATCTTCTGGATTTGAAGCCAACTCTCTATCCACTATGCTATGCTGCTTCTCTCAAAATACCAGTTGAATATTATTCCTACAACTTTTATATGTGGGTAATGTAAGTATCTAATGAGAAGGTAGCATGGTGTAGTAGAAAGCCAAGGTTCAAGTCAGCTCTTGGGCCGCATGTGGGTCTTTTAAACTCTCACAGTACCTCAGTAGTTCTCTAGAACTAAAGTTGCCTTTAATACATTTGATGGAGAAACTTTTTTGATATTGTTACTAACCAAATCACAGATCTGGATCCACTAGCCCTTTCTGCCCACAAAAAAAGCAAATAGCTAAACGATGTTTTATTGTCACAGATAATGTGCGTTCCAGACATTTCTATAGTGTTGTAGTTAATTTTTAGAGGATCTTTAATAAATGAACAAACTTAAGATATATTTCATTGTGGAGTAAACATTATATTAAAAAATATAAATTGCCGTAACTTAAGTGCAAACGTTTTTGTTAGGAATCTTTTTGGCATTAGTTTGGATATGAAAATATTGTGACTTTAATAAATAATTGCACTTGTTTCCTATTTTGTTTGAGTGTTCCTTTTTTTTGTATGTTGGGATTTTTAGGGTCTCAAATTATTTTTCTTTAAAAAAAAAAAGAGAAAGATGGAAATTCCTTCCAGAAGGGAATTATATGGTTTCTTCACTCCATGAAAAATACTTAACAAACAAATGTTAAGAACTTTAAAAATTATCACTGCTCTCTTCCTGTGGCAGCACTGTTGGTACAAGTTGTTCCTCATTGGATGGTCTCGCCCTACAACGCTCTGAACAGAATGGAGTGGTTGTGGACTGGAGAAAGAAAGGCTGTGTTCTGCAGCACCCAGAGCACTGCACAGCATTGATAGACCAGGTATGTGACATGCCACCCCCCCAATTGTTAGGTCACAATAAACATTTATATCTGGAAAGAAAGTAAAACTAAAGTGACAGTTTGTATCAGACATTTCATCTTGAAAAAGAACATTGAAGTTTGCCCTGATTTTACACAGGAAGAAGCAGATGAGGCTTTATAATAATTAGTATATAGGGCTATGTAGTGAGAGTGGGGGACAGTGGAGGGAGAGTTCATACAAATTGCACATGACCACCCATACGATAATAGGGCTGTGATCTCATTGGCATGAATACACTCCCTCTGCTGGCATGAATGGCAGCTTCTCTGTGCCTTTTCCCTATTGTCCAGAATGTCTTTCATGGAGGAATCCACCCAATGCCCTGGAAGCCTTTATTGAATGTTTTTAATGTCTCATTGGTATTGCTACCCATTGGTGATAGGAATTTTGAGGCTGATTTGAAGAAGGACATTGTTTTATTAGTACTTAATCTTAGTTTATTAACACCATTTAATCTTCATAAAATAAAGTACATAAACATAGAGGTAACCATGATGTGTTGGAACTGATCTCAGAACTAAAAAGACTTGTTCTAAGTCCTGCCTCTGACATATACTGGCAGTGTGACCTCAGGCGAGTCAGCATTCTAAGTAACTCACTAGGGCTGTACATTACAGATGAGGCACCAACCTACGTTGGTGGAGGGAGTTTTATCTTTAAGGGGTTCCCTTTTTTCAAAAAAGTCACAGGCCTAATCCCTATCTCCTAAAATGTAGGACAAAACAGAGAACTACTTGGAGTCAGATTCCTGATAAAGAAAATACTGAATAGAGAAAGAAGAAAATCATGTATAATTAGTCCAGTTTTCAGGAATAAAAATAGGAAGGCCTGTAACAATTGAAAAGACAATAGGAAACTATTTCTTTTCCTCACTTGTAACACAAGCTGTGGGAACATGATTTTTTTCATTACTGATCCATATTTAAAAATCAAAGTAGAAGAATATTAAGTGTATCAACTAGTTTTAAATTCTGTAATATGGATTAAACTCCATTTATTCAAGGGGACGGTGACTGGTGCTTAGGAAATAGGATAATTTTTTCCTTTGCCCAAGGTACTAAGGCTTTAAATTCAATGATTTGCAACTTTTCTTCCAAACACAGTCAACAAGTCTGTGTACTTCTCTTAGACCAGTCTTAGCCTACATAAACTGTTACTTATTTTATTCTTCTTTATTTTTAGAAATAAGATTCTTGGGAAAAGAAAATGGAACTGATTCAAGAAGGGAGAAGGTGGGAGGTTGGGTGGTAAGGCACAACTAAGAGTTACATATAAATGTTTTGCCATTGCAAGCTAGATTGTCCATAGTTATCTGATTGTGATCAGTCTTCTCTTTTCTGATATATTGTGTTGATATTCTTCTTTTAGCATGCAGCAGATAAATGGAGCTTATCTTCATTAAGCAAAAAGAAAGGAAAACCCCAAATAGAAAAGTAAGTTGTTTGTTATTACCTGTAATGAAGAATGTACTGTAACAGAATGTACCTCCTAACTGATTAGTAGAAAATGTAGCTCATGCATTACTGTGAAACTAGTATTCTTTAGTTGAAGTTGTAAATACTTAAATTTGTCATTTGAAGGTGTCATTAAGATAATTGTATAGGGAAGGTTTGTATAAAACATCCCTCAGATAAATTCAATGTAATGTACAAGGGTAATTTTCTACTTTGTAATTAGAGGCTGTGTGTATATTTGTTTTTTGTGCGTAGCATAAATAATCATTAAGAAATATTTGTAATGTGTGTGAACTTTAATTTAGGGAGAAAATTAAGAAGACAGACAGTAGATTGAACAGTAGAACTAATGGTGTTAGTGTCTCCACACCCCAGCATGTCCGTGGAGGCACAGTGAAAGGTAAGTGGTTTGTTGTTGTTGTTGCTGCTGCTGTTGTTGTTGTTGTTTTAAGTATAAAGTATTAATAAAGATATATCTAGTAATACAGAAATAAAGCTAAAGTTGTGCATGACTTTCACAAGTAATTCTGCCTGCTTAGTCCTTTTAAAGAGACTAAACATGTCCATGATTATATCTAATAATTTAAAGGCCTATATATTTGTGTGTTTTTGTTTTTGATTCATGCATTAAGCCTTTTTAACTGACTACCAATTTTCCATTGACCAATCAGTTTCCTTTAGTTCTCTAGTCTGTACATTGATAAAATTGGTGTGCTCCCTCTACTGGTATCTACTGTCTTACAATTTTTATGTTAAAATAAATCACTAAAATTAGTCTTCTACACATAAAGATTTTTAACAAAGATTGATCCCACAGATGGAGATTTTTTTGTTCTGCAAATTGATTAAGTTTAATTGTTTGGCAATATAGATTTTTACAAATAGTATGAATATTTAGTGTTTAGGGGAGTTGAATACTAAGGAATGTCACATTTTTTTCCATTTTAAAAATAATTGAGTGACTGATAATGTAGACTAGCTTTGGAGGCAACCATGTCCAGTCTAAGAAGTTTGTCTTAACAGCTTTTTTAGCCCTTGTAATGACCCTAGGAGTCCCTATCCCACCTTTCATTTCCCAGAAGACAGGTAAGTTGTAGTATTTTTTTTTCATATTAATGTCTTTTGTTTTTATGTCATCTCATTTCCAATTAAGAATAAGAGAGAGGAAAAAAGCAGTTAAACACCTTTAACCAACATATCAAAAGTATATATATATATGGTGTTCTGAACCCGTAGTCCCATTTCTGCAAAGGTGGAAGGTTTATTTTCTCATATTTTTTTCAGGTAGTCATATTTACACAGGATCCCATTTTGGTTTTTTGTTCTTTTCATTTATTTAGTCATTGTGTATATTGTTGTCTTGGTTCTGCTCACTTTATTTTGCATCAGTTCATATATATCTTCCCATGGTCTCTGTATTCATATTCCTCATTTCTTATGACACAGTAACATTCAGTTAAGTTAAATGTTTTCTGATAGAACAAATACCTGGTGGAAAACTTGAGGATTTCCTGAGACTTCCTTGTATATCTTTTCATAGTATAGGTTAAATGGTCCTCTGCAAAAGTCATAAGTACTCGTCTATCTCTTCTTGATGTGAAAGTGACCTGGGATTCTCAGAGGCTGAGCCAGGGGAACACAAGCTGAAAAGGAATAGAGTACAGGACCAGTGACAGACTGTTGTCCAAGAGCCAACCTGTTTAAGTAAAGAGAAGCTCAAAACCAGAAGATTGATCAAAAAAAAACTTCTCAGTAGTGTGTCCTCAAACAGTGACAGTGATGAAAAACGGGCCAGAGGATGCTAAGAATCAACTATGTTGTTCAACGACTTGCCTGAACAAGTTGACCTATTACTAGAGATACTAAGCAATATCCTACTGACATTTTCATTTTTAATGAAATCAGAAGCCATGAAGGATTTGAAACCAAGACAGTTCAAAGAGTCTCATCAGAAGTGGGAAAAAGGGCAGAGTTGGGTGATCATCTAGTACCAGAGGCGCAAGAAGGAGTGTGATTTCATGGAACATTTAGTCATCTTGCCCCTGCAATGGCTCGTGATCATCTTCTGCAAATAAATAATGTAGATCTTTGCAGCTTGTCTAAACATCTGTTTCAGAGGATGAAAAAATTGGAAAGTTCTATGAAGTACTTAACAGTATCTTTCAGAATATCTTGATATTTATTCAGTGACTTCCATACAAATGTGGGCATAAGAGAGGATGATCAAAACTGTTGGAAAATACAGCTTGGGATTTAAACACACACACACACACACGTTTGTAGGCTGTTTAGAAACCACTTCTTAATATCACTGTTATTTTGTTCACATAGAGAAAACTGGTCTCCAGAGAACTTGGTGTGAGATTCAACTAAGCCAGATAACCTAAGGCATTTTTGGATAAAACTGGAAAGACAAGAAATTGATTTGAAATGAAAGAGAAATCTGCTTATGTTTCTATAGCTATCATATTCTTGTGGGCAGCAGTAATGAAGCCATTTAAGGAGCAGGGTCACTTCTGAAGTCTAAAAGAGCCGTTGGACCTGACCAGATACATAAAAAAAAACCTGTGTTAGAGACGATGCAATTTTAAAGGCACTCAGGAATTAATTTTTAAGCTATCTAAGGGATAGTCATTAGCAGCGACTGGCCCTACTTTATCATCCTTTAAAGTCTTCATGGAAAATAATCATACATTAAGAATATCCTTAATCAAAATGTGAGAAATGGAGCAGAGGTAGCCCTTTGTTGACAATTGTAGTCCACACCTTTAGTTACCTGACAAAGGGGTGTAAATAATTATTTTGCTTTCTATAATTTGGTCATCTCAAGAGGATTTGACTTTTCAGAACTAAGTTATAGCTTTAAAGACCTTCTTCAAAAGGTATCTTTCACCTGTTAATATCAGTCAAGATTCTGTTCTAGAAATGAACACAAAGATAGCTTTATTTAATTGAGATCTCAGATTATTGTTATCAAGTGAAGCATAAAACATATCAAGTGAAGCATAAAACATAATCAAGTGAAGCATAAAACAAGGAGACCCTTACTTACCTAAGGCATTTTCAAGTTTCTGAGAGCAGAATCTAAAAAGGATTTCACATTCTTTATTAAATTTTTAAAAATTGAATTTGTTACTGATTGTGAGGTTCTCCAGATTCACAGTTGAAGTAATATTATTGTTGTTTATCATCAACACATTTATTAAGCACACATTTATGTGTGTCAGGCAGCATTTTAGGTTCTGGGGATAAAAATATAAAACTGGAACAGTCCTTTCCCTCAAGAAGCTTACATTCTGCCGGGGGAGGCATGTTCATAGATGGGTAAATGGAGATTATAGATAGACTGTGAAGTGATTTGGAATACATACTGGGGGGAATCATCAAAGCTTTCTTGAAGGAAGTGGCACTTGATTTGAACCTTGAAGATAAATAGGGATTTCATGGAGGACAGCCTGGGCAAAGGCATAGAGACAAAAGACAGAATGCCTTTTATAGGCAGCATAGCATGCAGGCTGATCTGCCTATCCTTCAGAAAATAGGGTGGGAGTAGGGAGAAGACGAAGGAGAGTATGAGTAATCAGCCTAAAAAGGTAGTTTGGAGCAACATTTTGAAGGGATTTAAATGCCAAACAAAAGATTTTGTGTTTTATCCTAGAGGCACTAGGGAGCCCCTGAAGCTTGTTGATCAGGGGAATAACATAGTCATACCTGCACTCTAGGAATATATATTTGACAATTATATGGAAAATAGAAAGAATGGATAAGAATGACCATTAGGAGACCATTACAGTAGTCCAGGCCAGGCAAGAGGTGATGATGATCAGAGCTAGGGCATAACAGTATTGAGTTGGAAGGCATAAAATCTCCTTATTGATGGGATATGTGGAGGAGATAAAATGATATTTATAGAGTGTAGATGAAGCTTCAAATCTCAGTTTTTAGAAAAATGGTAGAACCCTTGACTTACGGAATTTAGGAGGGTTTAGATGAAAAGATAAACTTGATTTTAGACACGAGTTTAAGATGCCTGTGTCTATCCAGATGGAAATGCCCATGAGAAAATTGAACTGGAGTTTTGAAGGGTCTGCACAGAGATGAACAAAGCTATCTCTGTGGTGCCATGTCTCAGTAGAATCATCAGAGCCCAAAGGGTTGTGAAGAGATTGGAAGAAAAAAGTGATAATTGTATATTGCCCCAGATCAAAGCCTTTTCAATGAAATCTGTAACATCGCTAAAACATCTACAGGGAAAAACAAAGTGTAAGAAAAAGCACATTATTTAGATTTTATAACAGGTAGCCCACTATTTAATTAATGTCCTAGTATAACTATCTTGGGTGATGAACTGGATATGAATTGAATAGGACATAACAGCTGGATCATGTTTGAGAGTTGTTGGCTTCAGTGATCCTAAGTTGCTTGCCGCATTAATCAGCAAACGTTTAGCATCTTCTGTATCCTGGGTGTTGGCAGCTATGTTAGATAAGATTTCTGTGCCCAGAGTTAGGGAGAGTTCAAATACAGCTTCAGACACTTAGTAGCTGTGTGACCCTGGCAAGCCACTTAACCTCTGCCTCAGTTCCCTCAACTGTAAAATGGGGATAATGATAATGATAGCATCTACATCCTGGGATTGTTATGAGGATCAAATGAGATATTTGTTAAGCACTTAGCATAACACCTGACAAATAGATGTGTAATGAATACATGTTTTTTTCCCAAGCTTCAGAAACAAGAAAGGGAAGAAATAATGCTTTCATGGAGCTTACATTCTATCAAAAGCTTAATTTTTTTTTTAATACCAATCTTTTTCTGGCAGTGCAATATGGCTATAAATCATGCAGTACAATTACTTCGTATCAGTCAATGTTGTAAGTGATTTAAAGGACATGGAAAGATAACAAGGGGTAGATAAAAGAAGGTTGTAGCATATAAACAATTTTTTTTAACATGAAATATAGCTCAAGACATGACTGTGCACATTTGGCCAAGACAGATGCCTGAATGGAGGCAAGCAGCTCAGCTCCCATAATCTATTCCACTGAAAACCTAAAAATAGTGCCAGAATTAAGTAATGATCAAGAAAATGAACAAGTAATGACAGAAAGTTATTTTATCTATATCAGAATTGTACAAAAAGTCAACCAGAAGCCCACAAGCAAGGGGGGAGGGAGTTCACCAAAAAAAACTAGTGTTAAGCAAATGACATGAAAGACTCTCACTGTGTAAATATAAACTGGGCCAAACATTCCTGCAGCTTTCAAGGCTAGAGGTCTCAAAGGTAGAGGGCTCCCACTAGAAAGCTCCAGGATATAGTCTGAAACTCAAAGCTTGGATCTTGGAAGGGGCTGGGAGCAGGAGTACTGAGATTGGGACACCCTATGCTTGAGGTCTCCA